CCTTTAGCTCCTCGAAATGAATGTTGTTGTCTTCACTCGCAAGCACTGTAAATACAAGGAAGGGTTTGGTCAGAAGCATAGATGCTTTTAGCTGGGCAGATAGTATCAGGGCTTGTGCCTAGCCCTGCGAGTGTCTGCAGCTCCTGGGGAGGCATTTGTTGTTTGAATAGAAGGAGCTGGACCGGGCGGCTGATGCCTGGAAGCGCAGCCTCCGCGCCAGCCCGGCCACAGTCTTGCAATTGTTCAGCCACACTGGAGGGAAGAGGGAAAAAAAAAAGCATTCCAAGCAGTGCCAAATTTTCTTTGATATGTTAATCTTTTGATAACAGTTTGAAAAGCCCTTGGAGACTTTTTTTAGATTTTAGACAAAATAGTTCATTTGTCAGGACTTCCCTTGTAGATAGGGTCTCCGTTATTAAGAACTGCCGCGCTAACTCTTGGTAACAAAAGCAAGTGCAGAGGACAGGCTGCTGGACTGCTCGTTGGTAAGAGAAACTATTAGTTGTCACAGGACTTTTTATAAAAATCTGAAAAGAATAAAGTAGGGAGCATTTAAGATACAAATGTGGAAGTTTACTCGTCTATTTTAAGCAGACAGATGATAAGAGCATAAGCAAAAATAATAACTTGATAATTTTTTATATGTATCCATACCTAGATTTTAAAGATTTCAGCTTTAAAAATTATATTTTATTCTGAGAAATTGGTTTAAATTACCCAGTGGTTGCAGGAGATATCAGAAGTTTCTTCTTTGGAGCTGTAATTTGCCCAGACTTGAAAAATTTTCTCTTGAAGCTATGAAACTTCCATTTATATTGAAAAACTGGAAGAATAAACAGATGGCAACAACGTGTGTATTATTTAGTTTTTTAAGGATTGTGGAATTGGGGCAAATGTTGAGGGCAACAGAGGGTAGATTGTCTTTGCTTCCCACCCCAAAAATCAAACTCTAAGAGTAAAATTTGCACTGAAGTAGTTTACTAATTATGCCAGCTGTTAGAAAACTGACTTGAGGTAAGCCAGTAGTCCTTCAAAAGTGTGGCTTGCAGAAGTCTTCAGGTGTACTGATGGAGACTAGCTCTGGTGCTTTTAGAACAATTTCCTTAATAAACTTGCACCTGTTGCTACAAATGTTTGTTACTTACAAATATTTTAGTACAATTGCTTGGTATCCTGGTTGTTTAGTCAGGATAGATGAACAAATAGAGTGGTATAGTGATTGAGAAAAAGTGCAGCATTTTCTTCATTATGAGAGATGCATATAGTTTTAAGCTCTGTCCAGCACTGTAATTTAGTCAGTGATCCAATTTGTGGTTTATTTTAGCTCCAAAATAGTATCAGCTTAAGTCTGAAGTTGCAGGTGCTGTCCTGTTCACAGCTGCACACTCTTCAAGACGTTAACAAATTGGAAATGCTGTTCAACTTAATTTTTATATACTGTGTTTTGCAGAGTTGCAGATTTACTGTTTAAGCTTGTGACTCAAAGTTATGCTCTTAGAAGTACTTACAGTTCAGAGGCTCTTTAGCTGATGCTCTTCAGCTGATTTTTAGACCATTTGTTGAATTTATACCTACATTGTTATAAAATGTTGCAAGAGATTTCATTCTCTTAATCTCAGTGGCAAACTGCCTTTTCTTTTACAGACCTTTTTGATATTTCCTACTACTGTGACTAGAATATGCTTAGCTATACAATGGTAACTCAATAAGTAAAATTTTGAGCGATAGTAAAAATTATGAAAGTGATAGTAACTTTCAGCATCTCCATTGGTTGTAAGTCTTCGTCCTTTAAAAGGTTCCTATTTTCAATTTGTTAAAAGGGGCAGAGGATTTCTCTGGCTATTCACTCCAGGACCAAAGAGAGGTTGAGTAGCAGCCTGTGATGTACATCAGAGGCACATTATATTTGGATATTCCCATGTTCATACTGCTTATTGCAAGTGGATTTCCACCTCACTTCAATTTGAGTACTAGTAAAATGTCATACTCTCTCATTTGGTCTGAAAAGACCAAGTTTTATATTTAAATCTTTAATTAAAGATTTCAAGTAATGAAATGTTTAATTCCCCATCATATTATAGAAGGAAAGAAGTAAAACTCAAATGCAGGTTGCTAAAGTCTCTTCAGAATTGGTAAGGTTTTTCAGTCTGACCCAGCAGCCTGAAGTCACCCAAGGAGGCAGTCCTGGGGAGTCCATGTGGTGGTGTTCAACCCCAGCTTTCAGCAAGGCAATGGGAGACAAACCAAAGAACTTACCCATTTGAACTCATGGTGCCATGCTTGGGCTGATGGTGTGCCAGAAGAGATATGATAGAAGGGACAGTGCAGTTCTTTGTTGTGGCATAGGAATAATTTTCATGATCCATCAATGAGGAAATGATTTCTATAATGATTTTTAAGTTTAGAGATTTGAATTGGAGTTTAATATGGAAAATTACCAGCAGTATCTGCCATGTTGAGAACGTGTGTTAGTTGAAGGTTGTTCAGTAAATGAGTCTGTATAAAATAATGCAGATGGAGCTAATGATGTGAGTCAGAAATAGCCTCCTAATTCTTCTCATGTATTCCCTGTCTGATTCTACCCAGCTGTTCAAAGAGCTTACTGAAACACAGGAATTATTGCTAGTGCTGAGATTTCCTTTCATACTTCTTCAGACCCACAACTTGGTGTTCATTCCCATTGCCTAAATGAAGGCAATTGCACTTCTCTCTCATACTGCCATGGTGTCCCATAAGGTCCCTGTGCTGACATATTGGCCAAATGGAAATCTTAGTTGAGATCCATTGATCTGGAAGCTATTTGAATTTATTTTTCTGCCTGGTGCTTTCCTGTCTCAAGTTCCTACTTGATATGTCCATCAGGGTTGCAGAATTGCTTGCAGAACCCTTTTTGATGCTACTGTACATCAGAGCAGGGAAGTGTGTGCTTGTTTAAGAACAGACTAGCTCAAGTATGATTAACCTAATAATTATTTTCTGGACCTGTGAATTCTATTAGAAGTATAATTCTGTAAATACACAGAACATTTCCTGGCTGCATGACTTTTTGATTGAAAATGTGTTTTGTAGGGTGTACATAAAGTTGTTTGATGTAATTAATTCAGCGATTGTCCTCAGGAGCTTTCTTAGCAGTCCTGTGTTGATTTAGGACAGATTTTTAACTGATTACATGTATTATCTATATCTTTCCCAGGATAGAAAGCTCCTTAGTTAAAAAAAGTTGCAGTTTAAATGAAAGTTTGGTTTAGAACTTTAATGACTTGTGTGGCTTAATATCCAAATAAATCTGCAGTGAAATTAGAGTATAGCAGTAGAAAACTTTCAACTTAACAAGGGGAGGAAGGTGTGAGCTGATGTTCCAATCAAAGGAGGCAGTTGTTGCCAAGTTAGATTCCTTCCATTCAGAACAAAATGCCAACTGTATCAAGCACTCCATTACGAAGTACTGAGCTTCTTCTCACCTGAGACTCAGCTTTGTGCTGTGATAGAGTTCTCTCCTTTGAGTGTGTGTTTCTTCTACTGGGACCTTATTCAGCAGTGGGAATAGATCTCTGAGGAGATCCCGTTTTGGGTAGCAAAAGAAACCTTTCCTGTTAGGTTCCTGCTTCATTTATTGGGTTAAGTGGGAAGGAGATTGTGGGTGGCAGAAAACACGTGTGGATGTGATGCTGTAGATAAGCTGCAGGAGATGGGAGGAGGGACCCTTAGAAGCTGGCATTGCTGGTGAATGTAAGTGCATGGATCCACGGGCTGGCTTTGAGAGCATCGGACTTGTAGTCTGGTGATTTGGTTTGTGAAAATGTTGGGGAGTTAATGACAGAGAAGTTGGTAGTAATTGTACTTATTGTGCTATCTAATACTAATAACAGCCTGAAAAAGGACAATTAGAGTAGCTACTTGTGCTGTGACTTAATACTTGAGCACTGGTTATAAGCTGTGGTAGTAAGTGCTGTCTTCTGAGAGACTTATGTATGTGCAGTAAATAAAATTAAAGGCTGTACCATGTCAGTGCAGAGAATTGTAGTTAATCTATATCTTGGCAGGTGAGCACTGGCTATTTAGTGATTTTAATTGTGGTAGTTGTTTGTTCCTGTGCATTAATTATAAATTGTATACAATTAACAAGTACAGGGATGCCCAAATGAAGGTTAGATGCAGTTTTAATTTCAAAATTTGGTTTTTGGTAGTTCAGATTTTTCTTGCTTATGTGATGAGGAAAATTCTGATAAGCCTCACTGTATTTAGCCTTTGTTTGTAGCTCTCCTCTTTTGGAGTAGGGATCTGTGTGCACTACATTCATCTCATAGACACTGCCATATTTTTTCCACGCCTTTTCTTATTCATGAAAGTTGTGATCATAATCTGTCTTCAGAGCAGCTCTCAAGATCAGCAACTGTGAGAGATTTTGATGCAAATTGAATAGTAGAGGAATTGGAAAGAAGGGGAAAGACTGACCAAAAAGCATGTCTTGATTTAGAAATAATGAACTGGGGACTAAATGTTTTTGAGCAAGTATTTGTTCTGCTCAGATAAGAAGTGTAGATCTCAGGGGTACTGTGCCTTTCCTCTTGAAGGATAGCCTGACTTCTGAAAGCATCTGATTAGGGCCATTACATATAGAGTGATACAAATGTGTAATATTTACCTACTTTTGAGCTTTTTTTTTTTTTTTTTAACAGGTTTAATTTACACTTCCATCACGAAGCTTGTAGAATGTACCAAAACCTGCTTGCTGCATGTAGAATGTAGCCAAGTTAAATTGGTACAAGCTTCTTCTTCCTCCTCTTTTAAAAGCCTGATGTTTCTGCAGTATTTCATTATTGACCTCCTTGGATAGTTGCTTCTAGAAACTAGTAACAGTGCAAATTGAAGATAAACATTAATACTTCGTCAGTGTTGTGTTTTATATATGCACTTACTGAAAGTAACTTGGAACAACCTAAAATTTCGGTGTAAAATCAGTAATGTTGCTTCCATTTTTAATTCTTGTCTTGTTGAAGGTCTTCCATATCTCAAGTCAAGAAGTTCCATATCATGCTAAACATGGAGAAAGAAGAAAAGAAATATGTCAATAAAGCAGAGGAAGATGAGATGGTAATGAATTCTGTTAATCTTTTTTTATACAATGAAAGAAACATATTTGCAGGGTTTTCTGCTTAAAGGGGGCATATTACATCGGGAAGTGGATTGTCTCAGTTTAAGTCAATTCAGCAATTTTATAAGATTATCCTTGGCAATATTTTTTGGTATTAAGAAATTTGTCTTGGGATAGGAAATGTTTTTGTTAAGGTCAGTAGTCCAATAGATAATACATTTTAGTGTTTAATATTTCTGCTTTTACACATGAAAATGGAAACAAAGTGAGCTGTGTTTTGGTTTTTTTTATTATTACCATTATTTTAATGTTCTTTGGTTACTTGGAGTTTCTTCCCTCCAAATCCTGGAGATTTTTTTTTTGTATTTTTAAAACAGGTTAATGCTTCATAATGCGATTCAAGGCTGTAAGCTTTGACAGGAAAGTACTAGCAGCTAATCTTTCAATTTCTAGCCCACTTGGGGTTCATAGGGATTTTTCTAGTCCTTTTGGTATATATAGGGATTTTTGTTTGCAAAAATGATTGATAGGCTTCTGTGAACTGAAGTTCTTGTTTTGTCCTTGTCCACACTGCTAGGAAAAGTAGTTCTTCACTAGACAGCTCCAATACAGAAAGTAAAAGAATGCATTGTAGAACAGGAGATGCTTATGGCCTGATCACTAAAATTAATATTTTTTTGAGGAAATAATTTTATTTTCTCCTAAAAATAAGCATTTACTTTTCTCATCATCTTTCACTCTCCTATTTTTATTGCTGAAGAGTGTTTTGGGGGTAAGAGAGAATAGACTTTATTTCTGCTCTTTGTCATCAGAGAAGGTGGCAAACTAAACTTTTGAAAAGCCTTTTCTTAGGAAAGGAGTTTAAACAATTTCTAACACTGTTTAATGCAAAGTAAAAAAAAAAATCCAAGAAGTTCATGTCAGTATGAACAATGGGTGGGACTCAATGGGAAACTTCATTTTTCAGCAGGAAATATAATCTAATGATGTAATGTGAAACTCAGGAATGTAGCACAGTGCCCAGTAAATCACTAAATTATTTTCTGTTCCTGGCTGTCATCAAGTTAACTTAGTGCTTGCACACTGAATACTTGGGGTTTTTTTTCGTGGGAAAAGGATTTTTCTAACTGGTACAAGTTAAAAAACCTTTGAGTGTGGCTTGGAGTTTGTAAAGTAGCATTTCTTGTTAAATGGCAGGCAAAATAAGCAAAATTTTTTGCTAGAAAGTGATGTTTGATATTTAGGGGCTTTTTTAGAATGTATAAAATGCAGCCTACAGTAGTAATTCAAAACTGTGAATGCTAGCTAATCAAATGATATGTTATAAAATCAGCACTTGACAAAACTACATGCTTTTTCTCTTTTAAGTGTTCAGCTGACCTGTGCATTGTCATGGTCAAAAATGTAGTTGTCCACTGAGAGTTAAGGCAGGTTGTGTAGTAACCTCAATCCTTAGGGAGCAGTGTAGAGAGGAGACAGTCTTGCAATGGAATGTTTTACACAGTGTGGATGATCTGCCTCTGTCTGGCTTTTACTGATGTTTATATTTCTGACTAAGCAAAACAGTGTTCCTTTTTGCTTCTACTCCACCATGTATTAAGTATTCCAAATGTTTCCTTCCCCCAGAAAAAGAAAAAAAAAAAGAGGAAATGGCTTTTAAAATTGATTTGCTTTAAATACTCCACGTTATGAAAAATTAATGTTGGCATTCTGAACCACAGTAATTAAGAGAGTCATCATTACATGTTTTGCTGCCATGCAGGAGATCTATGGCTATGATCTGTGTCGCTGGAAGTTGGTGCTAGTTGCTGTAGGAGTGATCTGTTCTGGTGGCTTTCTTCTCCTCCTCCTCTACTGGATGCCCCAGTGGCGTGTGAAAGCAACGTGCAAAAGGACGGCGCTGAAGGATTGTGAGGTGGTTCTGCTGAGGACGACTGTAAGTGTGCAGGGGATGTGCTTCTCCCTGCTTGTAGTTCCTTCTGCTTGCTGGAGTACACCAGTCTTTGCCTCACTGTGTAGATATGTTTGTGTTTTACAGCCGTGCAGAGTGGTGCTCCTGTGTGTAGCTTTGTGCCTTTGTAGGAAGACTGACAGTTGTTTGAAGTGGGCATAGCGAGTAGTCTGTATTTCAGTTTTAAGAATCAATTACATGAATGCTGTACTCATCAACAGCCACAGAACAAATAACTTGTTCCTATAAGCTGAAACATGGTTTCCCCTCCCTTATTCAGCAAAGATACATTTGTTGAAGTGAGGTGTAACTGCTGACCCAAGTGCAAAAATACGCTTTTAGAATTGTGGAAAGAAAATTATTCTTAAGGTAGCTGATGTTAACATGGAGATATGTTCTCTAATTCTATATGGGCTCTGCTGATCTATGAGCTGTGATTTTGCTGCAGCTGTTGTAGTAAAATGCTGTTTAAACGCTCTTTAAGCTAACTCATTTCCCCCCTCTTTCTAAGGATGAATTCAAGATATGGTTCTGTGCAAAGGTTCGCATTATGCCTTCCGTGGGAGCCAATCCTTTACAGAATCCTAATCCTATTGTGCACAAGGTTTCAAATGGCCATGCTGTTCATTTCTCTGAATCTGCTGCAGAAGAGAATAAAAATTATCCAAGAATACATTTGCCTGTAAGTAAGCTTGCAATACTATGCTGGCTAAATTCATAAGTACTATTGAGAATAAACACACATGTGAGCTGCTACTTTGTTTGAAAGGATAACTCGTTCTTGAGTGGAACAGAAATCTCCTCAGTAACCTGTTTCTGGAAATTGTGGAAAGCTTGAAAGATTAATGTTGAAAGAAAAGTACTCATTTTTTACTGAAGCTTTTCTAAATTCAGTTTCTGTCACCTCTCAGAACGAAGTCAGTCAGAAGAGAGGTGTTAAGTGGTACCAGTTTGACATCTATGTTTTGTTGCCCTTACAGATTCGTTACTTCACGCATCACAGTGTGAAGTATTTTTGGAATGATTCAGTTCAAAGTTTTGATGTTGTACGGTAAGAATACTTTTTTCTTACATGTTGTGCCTCAAACTGCATTTTAAAAAAATAAGTTGCCTAAGAACATGCTGAAAATCGGTGTTATATTTTGACAGCTGTTTTGGGTCATTGAATCTTTGAACTATAGTGAGAGCAGGGAGATTTTAACTCTGTGCGAATTTGGAGGGAAGGTGTTTGTTTAATCTGTCTTTATCAAGTGTGATTTGTGTAGGGTGACAGGCTGCATGCTTCTGCAGGCTTTTTTGCCTGTTCTTGGAGTGTTACTTGAGAATCAGAGCACCTGTTCATAGACAGTAGTACTTCTGGAAACACTCAAAAACTTTGCTTATGATGGAATAACTTAGGTTTTTGTATTGCTGAGCTAGAACCAAAAGATGTATCTAGGAAGAAGGGGAATTCACCAGATACCTTTTTTGCTCATCTTTGTGTAGGTCTGTTTCTATGTTTTAGTGCAGTTGAGCTGGATCTGATCTATCTTTTGTTACTGTTTAGTAACAAAAACAGGTCTATTGCACTGATAAAAATGTCTTAGTGGGCAGCAGTAGCTTGTGGTGCACTGTATTTTCTTCTATCCAGCAACACTGTTGCATGATGTTGGAGAAGAAAGTTTTTCTTTCTGTGATAAGGCCTTCTCATAGTGCCACAAGTTAAATGAACACTGACTTATCCATTTTTGGCAACTGCCCATTAAAACAATAAATTCAGACCACAAATAAAATCCATTTTAAACTTAAGTCAGTCTTCACTGCATTGAACTATCCTGTGGAGATGTTTTTTTTTCCCCAGAAAAGTGTGCGCAAATAATATGGAAAGTTATCAGCAATGAAAACAACTTTAGGAACTTACTATAATACAAGCAATTACAAAACTGAGCAGTCCTCATCTGGGAGGGTGGAAATGTCTCAGTTCTCAGGAATAAGTGATTAAAAGCTTTGTATGCATTTTTTGTGTTAAGTCTCCCATGAAATGCAGTTGTGCAGGTAGTGACACTCATCATTTTGCATTGTAGGCTCCTTCTTTCATGCCTATAGTGCTTCTAATTTAAACTGTTCAAAGGGAATAGTTCCCACAGATGAGATTAAGAAACTGTACTTGTATGTTGAGAACAGGTATTGGAAAAAAATCATGTGACTCCATGTGTTTAGAAAAAAATGTTGTTCCTTAGCATTAAAGCAGCGACTTGAAACTTGGCATTTGTGGCTATTTGACTGTGCCTTTTGATGTTCTTGTGATAACTTAGCCAATTTATAAGCCCTGGAAAAATCTCAGATATGCCTGCGAAGTTATGTGAGCATTTATTCAATCACATTCTTGCTGATAAGCCAAACTTTCATTTGTTTGATGTATTAGCCACGACTGAGCTTGGCCACTTGTTTAGTCAGGTACAGTAGCTGAGCTGGACATTATTATTTAGCTATTGAATAATAAAGAGGAGAAAGAAGCGGAACTGAGGCATACTGGATGCTGCTAGAGCACTAAGTCACTTTTCCATAAGGTCAGATAAAAATGCCAGTTTGTTAAAACTTTCCTCACAAGTGTATGGTCGTGTAGTGAAGTAGTAGATACCATGTGCAAAATAATCTCTGAGCTTGTGAATGATAAATACTCTGAAAAGAAGTCTTGGAAAATTTGTCCTTCAATAAGATATGTCTTCTTACTCTGCTCTTCAGTTTATATATATAAACCAAAAATTGATATTACCTAATAACATGGTAGAAAATCAAGTTAATATTTACAAAGAGACAGTCTGTGAGATAGAAGTCTTCATAGTAAAACCCTTAAAGCAGTCAGTATGCTTATAGTTGTGATCTAAACACAGCACTGCATCATGGAGAGCATTCACTTTGGGCTGCTGCTTACCAAGTACTCAGAGATGGAACAGTTTGATCACATCATGGAAGGCTTAGCACAACACAAAAGGGGGGGCAAATTAAGATTTCTTGGACAACTAATTCAGTTAGGAGAGTTTGAGTTTCATATCATTGTTCTTTTTATATTACCATAATATTAAGATAACTGTTTTAAACACAGGAAATGCAAGTGTAATTGTTCTTGGACTAAGTCAGACTTGGTCACATAGCCAAAGAGGATGCAACTCTGACCTTGGATGTCTGTTTTGTTTTAGCTACTGTCAGCTGAATATCTGAGTGGGTTGATGAGTGCTTTATATAATAAACTCTGCACACAGGGATTGTAATGCCCTGGGAATTCAGTCTGTAGCAGTAGTGTAAAAAGCAGAGAACATCGTGCTAGAAGCTCTGTCTTTGCATGGACATTGCACACATAGGTAGGCATATTTGCATATAGAGCACTTAAATTTAGGGACCCTCTTTAAATCAACTGTTACATTTCTTTTCCTACAGTAAAAGAAAACTTGTTCATGGTAGAGTGGGGGAAGAGACACAGCTATTAACAGAGTTATATGTATTGTTTAATTTAAAATAGTATTTTTAAAATCCTTGAGCCAGGTTTAGAGAAACCTGGTAAACCTAGGGCCAACTTGTACAAGCAGTTGGTGGAAATGTGATCCTAGGCATTGCAGTAGTGAGGATATTTAAAGCTTTCCCTGTGTTCTAGAGAATGGAAGTAATTGTTATGAAATATGCACAATAAAGAGTTGGGTTTTTCATTTTTTTCTGCTGGGGCAACTCTGAATCCTTTTTGACAGATAACTTAATAGATATCCAATATAAAAATCATTAGTGTGGAATAATGCTGGTTTTATGATGTCTGTGAAAGCCTTTTGGAAGGTGATGATATTTTCCTGTGCATCCAAAGTATGTCCACGAAAAATGCTTGGATATTGGGCAGCATACATCTGATTTACTGAGTTTGATAGTTAACACAATCCCATAGCTGTAAACATAACGCTGTTTTAGGTGTTTCTGCATATCAGTAGATTTCCTAAAGCACAGCATTAACTTTCACAGCATGTGGAGAAGTCCTGTGAAAATGAATCTTCTGGTGATAAGAAAGAACTGAAAATGTAGGGTGCTTTTTTCCTAGTCAGGGATCATACTGTGATAGTAAGATGCTGTAAAGTAGCTGTGGTATAGTTTTATTTAATAAATTGTTTAATAATTTTTTTCTAAAAAACTTCCATTACTACTTAGTCAAACAAAGGTAATCTGAAGAAATGTTAATCCACATTGATTTCATATAATGCTTTATAAAAGTTGCTCACTTTTTAGAAGCCTTCATTTTTAAGTGTCTCCATTTTGATTGGAATAGGTATGACTGTCCTGCAGAGTAAGGTATATCAACAAGACAACTGCTTTTAATGTGTCACTGGTATCTGAAGTTGTGACAAAACCAGCTAAGAACACATTAGTCCATAGATTTTGTTTTATAAAACGGTGTATACCTCTTGGCAAAGACCTAGCTCTTTTGAGTCACTGAAGACTTAATTTTAAATATCAGATTTCTCAAATAACTCATTGACTTTTCCTTTATTTAGAGGTCTAGATGAATCTACCTTCTGCTCTGCAATTCATAATGAACACAGCACAGGACTGACAAAGGGAATGCATGATTACAGGTAATATTGCAGTAGTATTTGAGGGAAAAATTGTTGATGTTTCATTACCTGTGCTCAGAGTATTAAAAAGCCCAGAAGACAATTGAGTGATCAGTGTCTGATTTTTTTGAAAATGAGACCTTCATACAGGTTAAAATATGGGAGCATCTGCGTGCTTATCAATTCATCTTCTGGCAGTTTGTGTCTTTTTCTGAAATAAAAGCCTTTCCCCGTTTTAAGGGCTTTTTCATGTCTCAATCATTTAACCAGCTCTGATCCCATCAGAGCTTGGTTTCTTGCTCCCTCTTTCATGATTTGCCTTTCTTCATGCTGAGAATAAAACTAAGATACAGGACCTTGAAAACATTCTCTTGCTGCAGGGAAGCATTAACACTGGTTTAAGCTTAAGCTAATGAGAATCATGTACTGGCTTTCAGTATGACATATTTAATAACATGGGACCCATACACAGTTTACAGAGAAATCTTGTTATGAAAGAATCTATAAAATAAGGTACAACTTAAATTGAAGTATAAAATAATTATCTTTGTATTGGAACATTTCACAAGGTAAGCATTTTCTGCAAAGCACTTTCTGAAACTATGATAAATAACAGTCACAGATTTAGGGACATGTTATACTTTATCAAATTAGTGAAATTACTTTGACATCAATAAGACTCCTAAAAAAACATCTTAACTTTTTTTTTGTATTTTTCTTTTTTTAATGCAGAAAAGCATTCTATGGAGTAAATGAAATTGCTGTGAAAGTGCCTTCCATTTTTAAGCTTCTGGTTAAGGAGGTAAAATCCTTTCTTGAACAAATCAAAGTAAAAAGGTATATCATTGAAAGTTGTTTCAAGTGCAATGACTATTGATTGGAAACCTTTCCCTAGAGCCCCACATTGTAAAACAAAATCATATGGACAATCTTTAGAGCTCTCCAGGTCTCCTTAGAGCTAAAGATCAAAGAGGCCTCAACTATAAACTTTTCAGAGTCCTTAGTGAGGACATTAGAAAACACAACAGAATTCTTTGAAAGGGTCAACATCTTACTTATTTTTTTTTGTATTTAATTTCAAACATAAAATAACTTATGTTCTCCATGAGGAGGCCAGGGATTATATATTACAATGTATGCAGCAAATCAAATGTTGTGTTGTTGGATTTGTTCTGGTTGCCGTGTATCAGGTGGATTTGAATAACTGGTTTGTTATCTTGTGCTGTAATAATGCACAGTAGAACTTCTGAACAAAGAAACTCTCCAACCTGATCTAAAGGAGTAAGAACAAATAGAAAATAACACCCAAATGGGTTTAAGAATTATAACTTAAGGTACATCAAATATTCCCATTACCTTATTTTGAGGTGTAGGGGAAAATGCAAGCAGTCTTCAAAGTCTGTATTTGTGTATTATTTGAGTGAGAACTGTGCTTTCGAGGGGGCTGAAGAGGTAGTGAAAAAAAAATTTGGCAAATCAAACAAGAATCATGTATAAAGAACTGAAATTGTCTTCTCCCTGGAGGAGGATAAATTCAGCTTTGTTCTAATCAGGAGCCCATGTGACCTTTTGGTGTAACTTGAATGTTCTGTCACTCTTCTAGGTTCTCAACCCTTTTTACATTTTCCAGTTGTTCAGTGTGATATTGTGGATCACTGATGAGTATCACTACTATGCATTAGCAATTGTGATTATGTCTGTAATATCCATTGTTAGCTCACTCTACACCATTAGAAAGGTAAGTTCAAAGAAAATTGATGCATCTTTCTGGCATTTTACTGATTGCCTTATTTTGTTGTGAAAATGTCTACAAATATGTAAGAACTTTTCAAATTACACAGATAGAATATTGTTATGCATTTTCCCTCTTTGAGCTGAAAGAATTCTGATTTATAGTTTTCTTTGAGACCTTTGCAGACTTTCCACACTGATGAATCAATAGGTTGGCCTCAGATAACAGAAACACTACCTTGCTTAAATAAAACCCAGACACAAGTTTGTGTACCAAGTTTTATTGACAGTAGTGCTTCCATCTTGCATTGTTTCCTTGTTTGAAAAAGCCCTACAAAACGGAGCAGTAGTGAAGCATATGGATTGTTAAACTGGTGATTCAGTTTGCTCTGTAGACTTAGCTGATGGAAATCAAAGTAGTAATTATCCTTAAATTGAAGTCTCTGAATTCGGACTAGAGAAAAAAAACAACCTAAACAACTTCAACCTTAATTCAAGTTCATACAACTACTGCAGCTTTTACTTTTGTATGTTAATACCAAATGATTTTATAATATTTTGCATGACAGTATGTTTGCTTCCAAAATGCTATTAAAATAGGAGCCTGTACAGGTTGATGCACTCAAACTTTATTTGCCCATAAGTTTTCTAAACTATATTCAAGAGAATATTTTGAGTAGCATTTTGTTCTTAAAGAATGTTAGTAGAGAATCTCATCACTTCTACTGTAGAATGTGCATTTAGAAGAAGACAAGCTGTGCTTTTGACTAATCAACTTTTCTCCCCTTTGCAGCAATATGTTATGTTACATGACATGGTAGCAGCTCACAGCATTGTAAGGGTTTCTGTCTGCAGAGGAAACCAAGGTAAATTTCACAGGTGGCCTGGAAAGTTGAATTTAAATTGCTCATGAAGTGTGATTGTAAAGTGGGTCTGCATCTGTTATTTTTTTAATCAGCTTGAAATGCTTGCATTCCTTAGCAAAATTGCATGAGAAAAGAAGTTCAAAGTGGAATTTAGATAGTGTAATGTGTTCAGGGTTAACCTTCTAGATGGTATTTTCAGTGAGTATCAGGTTTGTTCTAGATTAGGTGCTTGTCCTATTGCCGTTTCACTTATGTAATTGTCATTCTAATTTCTTTCCTGACTTAAAGATGTGCCTGTGTTGGGTCTCCATTACAATTTATTACCCAACAAGGGCTGCAAGATGATTTCTGAACTTCCCCTCATTTGGATACCACAGCAGTTAAAGGTGTGATATCCAAAAGGTTGTGATGCATAATATTGTTTTTAAGACATACATTTGTGTTGTGCTTTTGTCTTTATACTGAAGTTACACTGTAGCTAATAATTTCTGATATCTTTTGTACAAACTTGATTCTTTTCATTGGTCATGATGTATTCTATCCATGTGCTCTGGAGTTTAATCTGTGGTGGAATTGGGGTTTATCAATGGCTTTTTCTGTATATTTTTAAAATCTCTTCATGTCATTAATTTAATGAAGTTATACTTAATTTTATTAATAGTTGTATTTCACCTGGATCTTGAATGTGAGGCTCTTTATCAGGTTTTATAGATGATGGCTATTTTCAAGTAAACTTGTTTGTGTTCTAATATTCAGAAATAGAAGAAATCCTTTCCACCGACCTTGTGCCTGGAGATACTATGTTGATTCCATCCAATGGGACAATTATGCCGTGTGATGCAGTACTGCTCAGTGGTACTTGCATTGTAAATGAAAGTATGCTAACAGGTAAAGTAAATTTGATACACAGTGCTGCATGGTTAAAACTATTAGTTTATACCTGTGTCCATGCTCACTTGCAGTATGCTTTAGCAGAAGTGGATATGTTTACTTTGTTTGAAATGTGTATGTTCTTACAATTAGACATGTTCTGAAGTACTTAGGTACTTGTGTCCTGCTTATCTGCAACAGCTACCTAATACTGCTTAAAAACTCCAAAAATGAGTGATTGTTTCTTGTTAAAAAGATTTCTTCTTGATAGTTTGTCTTCCTGCCTCTTAACTTGGTGTTCTCAGTGCAGATGGAGCTCTGAAGCCTGCTTCTTCAGAAAATTTTTGCTCAAACTTTTTAGCTTCTTTCAAAAATGAAGGTAGTAAGTAGAATGTTATACTCTATTTAAAACCACAAATTATTATCTCAAGTTCTGCCTGCATACGCTGGGATCAGGGACCTGATGTACTTAAAGGACAGCTTCAATGACTAGGATGGACTTTTTGTTATTCCTAGGATAATCTGTCCAAATTGACAACCTCTAGAAAATTTTAGTTCAGAGATTCTGTGTTTTATCATGTTCAGTTTTTCTGAATTGAAACAAAACGTGTTTTTGTTGCTGCTAGCAACTGATAAAAATCGATTGTAGTCCTAGCTTGAGTGCACTCGGTCACCAAAGGAGCTGAGAATAATTTTCTTCAGCTTCTAGTTTTTCTGAGTAAAGATGGGGGTGATGCTTTTCAGCAAGAGAAGGAAGCTTGTCCTGTTTTTTTAATGAACTGTGTTTTATATCACAAACTGATTTGAAGTAAGGGACATAAAAGCTCTATAAGGAATAGAGTTAAATAGCATTTGGGTAAGGAATCTGCTGAGCTGAGGCTAATAGGTGAGAGACCACCTGAAAGGAAGATGACTTCCATAAGTCTGCCTGTGCTGGTGAAGTGAGATTATATTACATTTCTTGTAGTTGGGAATGAAAAAAAAAAGTCCATTCTTCTGTGATCTTGCTTAGAGACTTCCTTTCCTTTAAGGTGAAAGTGTTCCTGTCACAAAGATTAATCTGCCAAATCCTTCGGAGTATCCAAAAGCAGTGGGAGATGAGATCTACAGTCCCGAGGTGCACAAGCGGCACACGCTGTTCTGTGGAACCAATGTCATTCAGACCCGGTTCTACACTGGAGAGTTGGTCAAAGCTCTGGTAGTGAGAACAGGTATTGATTGCTAAGTTTATCCTTGTTAATGTACTAGTCCTGTTTGCAGGTATGTGTCAGCTGGCTGATGCTGCTAAGCTTGGGTGAAGGAATATACCCCAAATAGCTCGATTAAAATCTTAATACAATAATAAAACTAGATGATGGTCTGAAGATTAACAGTTGGCAAGCACAAAAGTGAATCAGTCTTCAGCATCAATTTAAAACTTATTTGAATGTGTTTTCTTGTCCTTTAGAGGTTTTTGGTAGTGTCTTGCTTGAACTACTTGTGCCTCTTGGAAAAGTTTCAGGTGGATAGTGGGGAACAGGAGATTGGGTGGGTAGTGAGGAACAGCTGATTTTAGCAGAGTCATTCACAATGCCAAATGTTTTTCTTTACCTATAGTTATTTCAAAGTACATAACATTTACTGAAAAAATGAGTTTCATCTATCTACAGAAATGCTAATTCATATGTTAGAGATCTGGCATTAAATAATAGTCTATGAAACCAATTGCACAACCAAGTACAATTGTGGGATTTTGCTTTACAAAGATAATTTTAAGAAAATTGCCACAAAATAAGTGAATGCAAGCTATAATCCAAGGTACAATAGAATTAGGTAGAAGAAATTGGACTGCATTGACTAGACTGCTGCTTAAAGCAAGTTTTCCAACAAGTAACTTCATCCTAATTAACTGCTTCTTACTCTGATGTATTCTTTTCACCTTCTGTTAGTCTGCTTTAGCAGTAACAGTTCTGATTTTTTGTTTTATTCTCCATCTTGAGGCTTTTATAAGTCTTTTTTTTAAAATACATATTTTCCTTCCCTTTAACACATCTGCCCTTTAATAGTATGCATCTGAACTTGTTTCTTGTTTTGTTTCTTAAATGAATTTTATGTTCCAGCCAGTGTGCATGTAAAGCAAGGTGAGCCCAAACAGCAACAGAAATTAACTGCTGAAGGCATGTTGCTTCTGCTCTGCAGGAAGGATAGTACTTTTTGTTTTGAAGTATGATACTATGGTCTGTAACTCTTTCAAGGAACATCACCGTTGTTCCCAACACTCTGAGTCTTACTGCCCTGACATCAGAAATTGTGTTTGTAAAATGTTCTTTGCCAATAGCAGGTCCAAGTTAGCTCCTGTTGTAAGCAGGATGAATTCAGCTGGGCTTTATTCAGGTTTTTTCTATGGACAAATGTGGTTTTTCTGCTGTGGCTTTGTATAGAGAAAAGCAAAGTGATAGAAAATTCTCTGTTCTCCTCTCTAGTTCACAGGAACAGTTTTTGGGCAAGAGGGAATTTCCCTCTCCACAGAACAAGATAGATGTCACAGCATTTGCAGCTTCTTGCTCCTAAAATGTCTGATAGTAAGATCTAAAGTAATTCTCACACAGTGAGATACAAATAAGATTCCCTTTATGTAAGTGAGGGAAATGCCACAAAATTGAACATACTTAAAAAATCTAGTCTTCAAAAGATCTAGAAGAACAGAACTAAATATGTGTGCAAAGGCATGTAGTCCTAATCTTGTTGTGAATCAGGATATAAGACTGATCTGCTGGAGCTATACTCACTGTACTCTTCAAGTTAAGCCTTTAACATATTTGATATTACAGCTGAAATACAGATAAATTGTACTGATTTCTTTCCTCCTAAAACTCAGTTGATGGATGTAATTGTGGCTCCTATTTGTAATTGAAAAGAATTCAAAACTGGTTATTTTGCTTTAGAAAACAGAATTGTACACCAAAGTTATTTGTATATCTAGTGTGTTCTAAGACACCCCATGAGGTTGTCATTTATTGCTTTACCCTGACGTCCTCTATCCTGTGTAGCTACAGAACCTTCTGCAAAACATGGGAAAAAATAGGAAGTAGTTCTGGTTTTTTGAATTCTGTGTTGAATTACCAAGCATTCATTGCTAAATACTCAAATACATACAGACATGGTGAACTTCTCTGAACAGGCCCGTGGTTCATATTCTGCAGTAGCAAATTCAAAGCCTGGAGGCTTCATGGCTTTTCATCTTGTGATGAGCTCATCCACTTCAAGAGTGATACCATAGTTGCTCTGTTTTGGTAGAATCCTCTTTGCCAAATGTCAGGGTGGAGGGCTCAGCCGTTGCTGTCGTGGCTTGCAGACTGAGAAGCTGTCAGGGAGCTGTCACTAATGCCAGAAGACCTGGCATTGACATAGAAGTTGTAGTAATAGACTTTGAAGTCTAAGCAGATGACAAATGTTTTGAGCAAACAAAACCAGGCAATAATTTTGGCCTCTTTAAACGTCGAGGCAAAAGTTCAAATCCGACCTTGGGATATCTGTTGGTTATTCATCTTTAAGACCTTTAGAAGGACAGTCTCCTTGTTTAGCTGTCAAAATCCCATCAGGAGGTGCCCTTATCAGAAGATGACTCTCTGCACTGCACTTTTTTCTGAATCTTTCATTCTGGCTCTCAAGGGACCTTAAGTAGACCTGCCATTTAAGTATTTAATGTTGGACTCTGAATATCTAAATTTTCTTTTTTGCAAGGATTGGCTTAATTAGACAATAAATATACTTACTAGCTCTGCACTGTGAGGGACAAAATGCAGTACAACAAGCTCTGCCAGGCCAGACCATGTGAGGATTTGCTGCTGCTGCAGAGGAGGGGTTTGTTTGCATCAGCTGCATGTCCTTGCCATAGGAGAGAAGCCCTTAGTGTGATGTGCATATATAAGCACCTTAATTACAGCATTGCAAAACATCTGCTATGGATATTGAGAAACAGTTGTAATGAAATTAGTAGCTTAAGGGTTTCATTGAGGTTTTTAATATATTTTAATAGCTTTGCTGTTGTTTGTATTTTTAATAGCTTACTCCTTTTTTATTTCTAGGCTTTAGTACTGCTAAAGGACAGCTTGTTCGTTCCATACTGTATCCAAAGCCAACTGATTTTAAGCTCTACAGAGATGCCTATTTGTTTCTCCTGTCTCTGGTGGTGGTGGCAGGCTTTGGGTTTCTGTACACAATTGTCAATAGCATCTTAAATGAGGTATGTTTTCATTTCTGGTCCAGAACTGCCTTATTTTAGAAAAGGGGTGACCATGACTTCCAACACACTTTAGATGATGAGAAACTATTTGCTTTAAAGTGGAAATTATTTTGCTCTATTTATAACAGTGAAATGAGACAAGGCTACTGAGGATAAAATTCAGCACAGAAGCAGAATTTTAATATCTTACAGAGAAATTTGAGTTTACCTTGGTTTCTCTTGACCCAGTTACTAGATTTTTATCTTTGTTATATGTAAGGTTACCATCTGACTTATATACAGTGGAAGAAATAGGATACAGCCCATCTAAAACATGCTGCAGGCAAAAAAAATCCTTATCAAGGAATAACCTGATAGCTGTTAAGTTTTTTGGTTGGTTTTTTTTTTTTTCCTATCAAAAATTTTTGCATTATTCAGCTAATGTTTTAAAGTAATATATTTCCAGGGAGAAAAGTGCAATTTTGAAGTTATGAGTTGTGCATAATTTAGGACTGGATTATTGTGGTTGCTGATGGTGGGTGAAGATTGTGCTAAATTACTGGGCAATCCAGAACACACTGTACTGGGGAAAACAATGTGTGGGTTTTGCTCTTGGCAACACGGCAGTGGGATAGTGAATCTGTAAGCAGTGAGTTCTTCTTCATTAACTCTGACCTCTATTGCAGGTTCCAGCTCGTACCATCATCATCGAGTCTCTTGACATTATCACTATCACGGTGCCTCCGGCACTCCCTGCTGCTATGACTGCTGGCATCGTTTATGCACAAAGGAGGTTGAAAAAAATTGGCATCTTCTGCATCAGTCCACAAAGGATAAATATTTGTGGCCAGCTGAATCTTGTGTGTTTTGATAAGGTTAGGTGAATTTTAAAACCTTGCTGCTTGGAGGGTGTATTGTCTTAGAAAAGGGAGTTTGTATAGACAAAAAGGGAAAACTCATTATTTTTCATGTAAGTTAGATGATTTGTGATATGTTAGCTTCTGGGTATTTGGTGTTTACCATCTGTTAATTCTCTAATTTAATCTTCTCTAAAAAGTTGTTGTAATTGAGCTGCTTTCTTACCCCAAGACTCCCATGTCCCAACTTACTAGCTGCACCTCAGAAATGTGAGTGTTGAGGCTTATTAAGAACTTTATTTAGCACACAAGCTTCTGAAAAACTCAAGCGTGAAGTCAGACTTTTTCTCACTTTCATTCATTTCAATGAAAAGCTGAGAAGTGTATTTTGTTATTATTTGTTAACCAAACATGAGTAAAAGACAATCATGCTGCTAGCCTTAGAATGCTTTCCTTTTGGCTATTTCCTAGATAAAATTTATTTTCCTCCTTAGATTTTATATCAAATATAAGTGTAATGCTAACTGTATTATTGCAGCTGTAAGTACATTTCAGTTACTGTTTTAACTATGTAAGATAGTACTAATGGTTTAATACCATTTAGTACCATTTCCATTGTCCCCAGGCCCTGCATATTGAGATGAAGTGCTGTCATCTTTGGATTTTAAGGGTCTGTTTCATTTGTCCTGTCTCCAGTGAGGAGTGTGACTGCTTTGAATGTTTTTGAAAGTTATTTAACAGGTTTGGAATTTAATTACTAGCAAAAAAACAAGGGTGATCCTGTATTTTCTGTCACAAAGTCTTGATTTATATGTGAAAACAAAAGAAAATATATTGTTCATATAAATTTGCTTGAATAGCTGTTAATTTTTGCTTTGCTGGAAGATAATTTGTTTCCAAAGGCTTTTTCTTCATGCCATGCTGTTGGTCTCCTTTGCAGACTGGCACACTTACTGAGGATGGTTTGGATCTTTGGGGAATTCAGCGGGTGGAAAATGCTCGGTAAGGATGAACTCAGGGCTGATAGCAAATATGGCATTCATATTGTGCTGCAACAGCTTCAGCAGAATAGACTAGGATAATTCCGTGTTGAGCTCATACATGTTTACATTTCTGTAATGTACTGTAGTAATGCCACTTAGACTGTGGTTTAGGTGTAGTGGAAGTTACAACTCCACAGCAAAGCTGAAATAGAATTTTATTTATTAGAGTGTGAGACCTCATCATGGTCATACTGCAAAACTGTTGCAGATACTGTTGTATGCTTCTTTAATCCTCTCCTCCTAAGTGATGACTTTTTGGGCTGCTAACATGAATTAGCTTAGCTAATTAAGTTAAGTACTAAGTGATAAGAGGGCTTTGTAGGAGAGATCAAGCTAGACAGGGAAGGAATGAACACTGAGTGTTTGAAGGAGGAAGAAGTTGTGATAGCTTCTGAAGATTGCAGCCCAGAGACTTAATTTATTTGCTGTGATGTGTGAAAATACAAGTGAAGGGACTTGTGCAGTCAATTTTCTTCTGTTAATCTAAACAAACCTTTTGAAGTGGCTCATAATAAATAATTATAGCGCTAAGTATGTTATTACTTTATTGTTTCAGTTTCCTTTTGCCGGAAGAGAGGGCTTGCAGTGAGAGCTTGCTGAAGTCAGAGTTTGTTGCTTGCATGGCAACTTGTCATTCCCTTACAAAAATTGAAGGGGTGCTTTCTGGGGATCCACTTGATTTGAAGATGTTTGAAGCAATAGGATGGGTATGTGCCTTTTTTTCCTTGAATATTGCATTATGAGCAAGTCAAAGTTAATGTATAAATTAGTTGATTTTTTTTTAATACAGATTTTAGAAGAAGCAACTGAAGAGGAAACAGCCCTTCATAATCGAATCATGCCAACAGTGGTTCGACCTTCAAAACAACTTTCCCCAGAATCCAAGCAAGCAACAGATCAAGAAATGGTATAAAAACTCAAAACAATTGATATGAGTTAAAGAAACACATTTTACTGTATGCTGAGGTTCTGGCTGATAAAATTAAAATGGGATCAGAACTGTGAGGGTTTTGATGGCAAAGTTATAACAACCATGTTTAAACCATGTTGTTGAAGGTAGTGATTCAGTATATGCCCCTTCCAAGGTGAGCAAACTGAGTGTCAGCATTATTGCCTTTACAGATTGGTTATGAAGTACAGGAGTGCTTTTTGAGCTTATGCCTTTTAATACTGGTACGATACCGAATTCTTAAGTTTTAATTAAATGCTTAGGTGTGCTCACCTTGCAGTTTCAGTTAAAACAATAATTTGTTAATGTCACTGTGAAGCATGGAATTCTTGCCACTCTTGTACCTTAGAGATAATATTAAGTGCTGAGTAAAAGAAACTAAATGTACTTAGCAAATGTAAGAGTTTCTTCTAGCTCTGTTTTGAAGTATTTTTAAATATTTCACAAAGGGAAATATTAAGCATGTTAGTATATATTCAGATCATCAGTCAGTACGTTTGTATGAGTTGATTTTGTAGTAGGTAGAACTGTCTTTCTTTTGTTCAGAGCTCAGAGTACGTGCACAGCAGTAATTTCTGTGCAGTAGTTGACATCTGAACATTCTTGAAACTTACTACATTATTTTTTGGAGGGATATACTTAATAATCATGGCCTCATTCTGAAACAGCATAGTACTTTAGTCATTTACAAAGGCTAAACAAACAGTTTGGACTGTGAAAGGTCTTGGAAATTCTAATCAAGAAATCAAGCTCTACAGTTCTACTGTGTCTCACTTAAAGGATACTAAACAGATGCGGTGTATTTACAGTCAGCTTTTATGAAATCCATTGAAAATACAATATGTCTTGATACGAAGAATGCTGTGCAGATTCATTTACTGATTTGTGTTGAAATAGTTTGTAGCTGAAGAAACATTTTAAATTGATATTTAGAGTGGCTGTATCTTTTTTTTTTTTTCAGGAATTGTTTGAGCTGTCGGTAAGTATACGTTTTCATTTGGCACATACCTATTTTTCTTAAGATGCATGTGGATGTAACCCTTTTGTTCCTTCCTTCCTGTGTGACACAGACTGGGTATGAAATTGGAATCGTGCGCCAGTTTCCATTTTCCTCAGTGTTGCAGCGCATGTGTGTAATAGCAAGGGTTCTAGGGGAAAAGAGAATGGATGCTTACATGAAAGGTGCCCCAGAAGTGATTGCCAGCTTGTGTAAGCAGGAAACAGGTAAAGGAGCAAATTGTTTTTATTTCTTCTATAGCTGAGCTGAAATATGAATATTTTAATAACCGAAAACTTGATCTTTTTAAAGTTCCTGTTGACTTTGAGCATGTCCTGGAAGAATACACTAAGCAGGGCTTCCGAGTTATTGCTCTTGCTCACAGAAAACTGGAGTCTAAGCTTACGTGGCACAAAGTCCAGACTATTAGCAGGTAAGAGTGACTTCACTTTTTTAATAAGTAGCAGACCTTAAAAGCTGCATGTTTTGAATTAATATGTAATATGTATTTTTGTTTAAATCAACTACTCTTCTTTAGCTTTTTTTCTGTCTTGGCATAGTTCTGTACATCCTTTAGTTGTGCCCTGGACACACAAGACAAGTTTTTTTCTGCAATGAGGTGAATTCAGAGGATGTGCTTTAAGCTGTTAATGAACTAGAATATTATTTTCATGATGTCTAATTTACATTATTATGGCAGAAAACCTTGTCTGATTTCTTTACTTGCACATACTTATATAATCTGTTTTTATTAAGGATAATGGCAAGTAGTGGAAATCCTCCTATGCATGTTTGATGCAGTTTCTTTGTCTCCTAGAGGCAGCATGTCTATTCTCATTGCAGAGGTTTGAAAGGCAGAAAGGTTTCTTCCTTCAAAGAGTAATACCTCCTGTGAATTATTTTTCAGCTGAGCCTAGTTTTGTGGATAATGTCATCTTTCCCACAGTGCTTGAATGTGTAACACAGCTATGAAAGTGCCAGCTTTGACTGTGTTCTTTTGTATAAGCTCTGTGTGCAAGGTGAACATTTGGCATAGCAGAGAAATGAGTTTTCCAGTTTCAGGTGTGAAAGTCTACAATAGCAGTGGAATACCCAAGACCTGTAAATACACTAACTTTTTAATGGAAACCAAAGGGAATTAGTTTCTCTGCCTAATTAGCTAGTGCCTATTAATCTTACATGCCTTTGTAACAATGTGGTAGCGTTTATGTTAAGGTTCTGCTAATTTGGAAAATAGAGATGTGCACTCTAAACATATCTTAATAGTTGGGCTGTGAATGCAGTTAGTTCCAGAGCAGGTTTTCTAACTATTACCTATTTGAGACTGTAATTTCTTTTAGAAAGCATTCTGGTGGGAGAAACTGAAAATTGTGCTTGAGAGGAGACAACATTTTCTCACACTGGTTTTGAGTTAAAAAAGGGGAAATAAATATAAATTATTGTGATGATATCTTTCACATCACTTTTTTATAAAGCAAATCACTTCATGGTTAAAAATACACATTCCTCTTTACTTTGATAAGTAGAAAATCAGGCTTTTAAAGCTATATCTAATAATTTTAAATGTTAAAATCTTCTCTTCCTTGTCTCTTTTTCATCATAGAGATGCTATTGAAAGCAACATGGATTTTATGGGGTTAATTATAATGCAAAACAAGTTAAAGCAAGAAACCCCTGCTGTACTTGAAGATTTGCATAAAGCCAACATTCGCACTGTCATGGTTACAGGTTAGCATGTAAACATTGATACTCAAAGATCCATCTCCTTCTGGTCTTGATTTAATTATGTGTGTGAAGTCAAATTTTAGTGTCAGTGGGTTTACACTGTGTTTATAGCAACAGGGAAGTTTAGAAACTTGTGAAAATATTCAGACTCCAATTCTTCTTTTTGGGTGTACGTTGCTTTGATAAGTTGGAGAAACCAGCAGAGGCTTTAATTCCACTTTGTAGTTTTTCCTCCCTAGCTCCAAGTATAAGCTACTTGATACTGAATTGGAGGATGAAAACCCTTAGAAGTCTTCCAGATCAGGCTAAGTGGAAGTCCTAGTCTAATTTTGTAGCTGAACTTGCTTTGAGTAGGAGGTTGGACTGGATGTCCTGAGGGTCCCTACCACTTTGATTTATACTATGAAAAGTCACTTTGTATTGGATTTTTTTCTGGGAGAATGACTTAGGTCCTTGTAAGCATTCTAGGTGTCTGTGCTCAGTGTTTTTCATACAGTATGTGTTTGCTTTTTAAATCACAGGTGTTGTGATTTTGAAATGTTTTGTTAGGCTAACAGTATAGCTCTGTTTGCATGTTCTGTGACTGTAAAAAGTAGTATTTTAAATGGCTGCCTATTTTCTACCTGATTTTCCATATACACAAAAATGTGGTCAATAAGAGATCTTTATAGCTCCAATATAGCTGAAATTTCTAGAGGAGGGGGTTTACCTGGTAGGCTTTGAATGTTGTCTGTAGGCTTGGTTTGCTCTGAGGCTGGCACTGGTATGTGGGGCAGTCCTCTTCAGTTCTCTACAGGCTTGTTAGCTTTTCTCCTGCAGGGACTATCAACGTATGATCTTAATGCTTTTCTGACTGAAACCCTTTTAAATGCAATTGTTTAACAGGGGATAACATGTTAACTGCTATCTCTGTGGCCAGAGACTGTGGAATGATTCTACCTCAGGATAAGGTCATTATTGCTGAAGCACTACCTCCAAAGGATGGGCAGGCTGCCAGGATCAACTGGCATTATGCAGATACCCTCGCAAAATGCACTAGTTCATCACCAGCCATAAACTCAGAGGTAATATGACCATATTATGCATATATATTAGAATGTAAGCTGTTAGTTTTGCTGTTCTTTTTATGTTATTCCATTAAATAGTAAATCTTCAGTTAAGTGTCAGTTCAGAATTGATATACTGCTTAACTTTCAGATCTTCAAATCCCAAAGACTAGTAAAGCAGCTGGAGGAGGTAGTCTTTCAACTGTGATATAACATTTGACATTTCACTTGACAGGGTTTTTTCCCCAACATTTCAATCTGTCAGAACTTCTCTATCTGCTTGTAGTTGAAGCATTAAACTACATTTTCCTAGTAATATGTAAGTGGTTTTATTGTATGAGGTTTTTTTTTTCAAGTGACCTTCATATAAACGTAGTCTTGTGTAGGATCTCTAGGGATACTCCTCTGAGTATTAGCTTGAAATGGCAAGGTATCTGTGTAAATCCATTACAGCTAGAGTATTAAACTACTTTTGATAGGATATTCCAGTTAAATTGGTCCATGAAAGCCTTGAGGATCTCCAGATGACAAAATACCATTTTGCAATGAATGGGAAGTCATTTGCAGTGATTTTGGAGCATTTTCAGGACCTGGTACCCAAGGTGAGCATTTTACTTGAGTATGGGCACTTTCAAAAGGGAAGAGGCTTTGCCCTGTGAGCATTAAGAACTCTTCTGTCTTGCAGCTCGTGCTACACGGCACTGTGTTTGCTCGCATGGCACCTGATCAGAAAACTCAGCTGGTGGAAGCTTTACAAAATGTAGAGTAAGTATTTGCTTAAGCATAGAAAGCGAGAGGGTTGAATGTCTTTGGTGGGATAGGAGACAAAAATTCTGCATGCTGCTAGCTGTTTTGTCTAAAGAAAAATGCTGGGCTGAGAGAACTCCTTGTGTTGATAGGTCAGCCTATTAGCTAATCTAATAGAATGAGAGTAGTACCCTCTGCTGGCTAGTTGGGAAAGGTTCAGACTTCATGAAGTTTTAAATGAGGAATATGTGCATAAACTGACTAATATGTTTTATAAATGCAGTTGCTTGGCTTACAAAACAAACCCATCAGATGTCTTTTGTGTATTACAGAAGTATTATCAGGATGACTTCTGTTTACATTGGTCAATATGTGACTGTTGGTGTTAGGCCTTGCAGCTTTAAAAATACTACAGAAGTGTCATTGCCTAGAGCAAAGATTCTTTAGACCACATTGGGATGATAGAGAGCAATTAACCATTATTGCTTTGATTGACCTGTTACTGTCGTGTTACTTTTCTGTCTACTTCCTTGTATGTATAACAGCAACAGTAATTTATTTCAGCATTAATGATCACCCACTGTTATGCAAACCCTGAATAACTCAAAGTAATATAGAAGTAATTAATGAAATAAGCTAAATGGACCATGGTTGGAGAATGGTCCAGAATGCTGATATCTGTTTGCTTTTTATAGTTACTATGTGGGCATGTGTGGAGATGGAGCAAATGACTGTGGGGTGAGTATATTTTTATTTTCCACACATAACCATTCAGTTAAATTGTACAGCTGTAGGAAAGTTCTAAAATGATCTCTATTTCAATGTTATTTGGCAGGCACTGAAGAGGGCACACGGTGGTATATCTCTGTCTGAACTTGAGGCTTCTGTGGCATCACCATTCACTTCCAGGACACCCAGTATTTCCTGTGTGCCAAAGCTGATCAGGTAATGCCACTGACTGTGGATTTAAATGTGTCTGTGTAACTTATTTTGCATGCTCCATTTTAGTATATATTTGATGCTGCAGGAAACCAGTGTATATTACGTAACAATGCATACATTTTAGTGGTTCTGTTTCTTTACTGTAGGTACTCTGAGTAAAACCCTGCCATACCATGATTTGCTATTTTGTTGGAAAATCCTTTGTCCATTTAAAGTTAATTTTTCAAAGCATGACCAAGTTTCTACACATTAGTCTTTATTTTTTCTTAGTCACTGGTAGCTTCCATAAACGCTGTGTGTAACTGAAAGCAGTAAAAATCTTCAGATAATTGCTCGGCACCATAAAAAGTAGAAGAAAAAATTCTCTACATGGCATTTGACCCTATTTTTTGACTCTAGAATTGGAAGTTAGGTAATGATTTTGGATAAAGTTCAGCCAAAGAAGAATCAAGGGGTCTGTGGGGAGCTAATGAAGTAATGCATTATCAGAAACATTTCTGAGGTCAGCAGCTCTGTGGCTGACAGTGTGTTTATTCTGTCCATACAGTAAACTAATGCTTCATAGATGCTTGTGTAAAAAGACTTTAATTTTAAAACCTCTGTTGAAAAACCACGTGAAGTCCAAAGAGGACTGAAGTTAGGTGGTGGCTGAGTTCAGAAGACATTACCACAACTTAGATGTTGAGGGAAGTGTACCATTCTGACTCCTGTTTCTCTTATGTCTGTAGCCTAATGTCCCTCAGATTAGGTGTGTTTATTTGCAGCAAACATTTTGGTAGGCAGAACTTAACTGCTTGCACAGAAAGCTTTGTAGTAAAATGATTGCATCTCTTTTGACAGGGAAGGCCGTGCTGCTTTAGTAACTTCCTTCTGTGTGTTTAAATTCATGGCATTATACAGTATCATCCAGTACATCACTGTTACTTTGCTGTATTCTGTAAGTATTCTGTAAATACCTATGCAGTGTCAGCATAATTCAGAGATTAGAAAGTTGATAGATACTTAATACAAATTATTGCAAGTCCCTTTGGGTACAATATATGCATTCAAAAATATATTTAGATTGAAAGTGTTGTTAGTATTTTGGGGTTTTTTTTTCATATTAACTGTACAAAATACATAGTAGTATCTGTTTAGAAAAGGCAATAACCAATGGCTGTGAAAAAAGTCTCTACAGTGGGAAGACCAAATAAGCATTTATACAAAGCAAAAATACAGGTTTCATTTATTTAAAAACTTTCAGCATTTTGAAATAGCCTAACTTATTTTAAAGAGCAATGAATTCCTTCTATGTTAGAATTGAAAGAAACTGGAAGTACTGATTTGGGGAGGAAGCAAAATGGAATATTTCCTGTTAATATGATTTGTTTTATAATAGTGGCATGTGATAGAAATCCCATATTTTGATTTGTATTCTGAGCAAGTTAAAGGTGCCAAGTATTAAAGGACCTTTGAGGTGGGAATTCTGACAGCTGTATGAGTACATAGTAAGGCTATGGTGTTTAAAGAACTGTAGGCCTAAGCTGTTACTGCATTGATATGTAAAATTCAATAATATAATTTTGATTACAAACAAATTTCAACTACAAATAGCTTGTCCGTCTTGAAAAGGAAATTGTTTCATACTGTGATACTTCAGGAATTGTTCTGTGAATTGTAGAGTATTCAGGACTCCTGCAGGTAAAGGAGGTCAGTTTGACAGGACACTGTCTTCTTTATAGAGGGAAATTCAAAGAATTAATTCTGTAAAAGTGTCAGTATAATTTTTTTGTGGTGTGAAGAAATTACCAATCTTTCATTTGTTGTTTCTCTCCAGATCCTGAGCAATTTGGGAGACTTCCAGTTTCTCTTCATTGATTTGGCAATCATTTTGGTGGTTGTCTTCACTAGTGAGTACTGAAACCATTGTGGCTTCTGTGAACTACTTTTTGCTTAGTCAGATTTTCTTTAATATCTAATTACATGTGGTTTTAAGAAAACACTGTGACATACAGTGAAGATATTATGACAATTACATCTATGCATTCAGAAACCCAAACCACCACTGAGTACTGAATTAGATTCATCTGAAATTTGTACAATGTCCTCAAGCAAGAATCAGGTTGTGAGCATGATCTTGGGGAACTAAGTCTTCACAGTACAGGAAGCCAGTTTTGCAATCAAAACAGGAGTTCCTGCAATATCATCTTGCTCAAATGTTTTGATTCCTTGCATTCTTACTTTGAATTCTGTCCACAAAATGTTACACTCAAAGTATTGCCTAGTGTAACATTCAATTTCGCATACAAGCCTAGCATTCAATTCGCTAGCTAACAATAGAATTAAATTTTCAAATTTAATAAAAACATCTTAATTGAAGCAATGGCAGTCCAAAATTGAGGAGGCAAGTTTTAAGTCCTTGTGCCAGACAAAGGGAATTTGGCCAGACACTACTAATTCCTTAAGTCTGATGGCTGCTACTGTCCCCTGCTGTGCTGTGCTGCTGGGGAACCAGCCTGTAGAAGGCACTGTGGCCTTGTTCTAGGGCTCTGTGCTCTTTTCTAAGTGGTTTCACATTTGCAGTTCTGGACTAAATTTTGAAGTGATGTCATGAGCAAGCCATTCATCCCACAGAATGTGAACAGGATAACTCTTGAAAACCATAATGATGCAATGTGTCATTTGTTTTTTGTTCTCTCTGCAGTGAGTCTGAACCCTGCTTGGACAGAGCTTGTTGCACGAAGGCCTCCATCAGGTCTTATCTCAGGTCCACTTCTGTGTTCCGTGTTGTCTCAGATCATCATCTGCCTTGCTTTCCAAACCTTGGGGTTCTTTTGGGTCAAACAGCAGTCCTGGTACAAGCCTTGGACACCAGACTCTGAGTAAGTCTTTCAGTGGCTCTCTGCAGGATACAGTAGTGATTGGAAAGCTATAGCAATAATGCTGTCTTCTTTTTTGAAGACTTTGGAAATAAAGCTTCTGTATTGCAGCTTGTTAGTCTGCTGATTTTTTGTGAAAAACCTACTAATATATGGGAGCTACCCACTGACTGAAAAGCAAAATTGGGTCAGAGTCAGATGGCTTGGTCTAATGACTCTTCAGTTTTGGGATAGTTGAGGTAGAAATTTGGAATTTATGGTCCAGATTTAGTCTATCTCTTTCATATTATAAAGCTTTGCTTTCCTGTTAGAGTTACAGTAAATCAAATCCATATTTTTGAAAATGAAGAGGTGTTTTAATTTTTTTTTTTAGATTGCAGTATTTTCTTATCTGTCTCTGAAGTCTGTCTACAGTGATTTACAACTGTTTTTAAACTGTTTATGTAGAAAATTTACAAACTGGCAGCATAAAAGAACTTGAAGCTCTGAATTCACAAAAATTGCTACCTCCCTGTCACAGTTTTGAGTTATTTCTTACTACCTGTAATATGTTCTCAACTTCAAGCTTTTTTTACTGCTGTAGCAATTTGTTCTGTCATTATTTTTGTAAATCAAGTGGGCCCTATTTGCCTCTTCTCCATAACTCAGTGTTGGATTTTTTTGTATTGTAGTGCATGTAATGTGTTGGACACCTGGAACACCAGCTCTGCACAGCATGGGAATGAGACTATTCATGATGAACATTACATTAAAAATTATGAAAACACAACTTTGTTTTTTATATCCAGCTTTCAGTACCTCATAGTGGCAATTGTCTTTTCTAAAGGAAAGCCCTTTAGACAACCATGCTACAAAAATTGTAAGTCCTTTCTTAGTAGATACAGTTCCAAATAAAACTCCCAAGTGACTGTGCACTTGTTGACAATTCTATTGTGCCACTTCAGAAGTAATAGTCTTGCTAGGATATCATAGTGGAGTTATCCTCTCATAATCACAGCTAGAAATAAGGAAATATTAAACTGTATGGAGAAATTTGTGTTAATAGTTGTTTAGTTTTTAGACATATATGTGTATGTATATTTCAGCTCCACAAGTGAGCTGGTGAGGAGTCAGGCCTTCTCTCTATGGCTATAAACACAAGTAATATTGCCCCCATTTGCCTGGAAGGGGTTTAGTGGGAGACAGGCAGTAATGAACTCATGATACATATTAAAACTGTCTAAAACTCTTGATTGTGAGATGGTCCAATTAAAATATTTTTTTCTTCTTTTACAGTTCTGTTTGTTTTATCTGTTATAGTTCTTTATGTCTTCATATTTTTCATCATGTTGCATCCTGTTGAACCTATCGACGCATTTCTTGAGGTGAGTGAGCAGATCTGTGAGTGTGTCAGCTTCCTCAGGCAGCTGATGGGCTGCCTTCGGGGCAAGTGTGAGCCCTGCAGATCTTTAGCTTCACATCACTGGGTTGGGAAGGGAGACTTTATCCTGCTGAGTCTGTTTTGATTGTGTATTTACTTCACATGTGTGTTTCTAACCTCTGGCAACTTGTTTCCACAGCTTGTGTGTGTGCCACCGGAGTGGCGCCTAAGAATTGTCATCATTGTTGTTCTCAATGCAGTTGTATCCGTAGTGACAGAGGTAAGAAAATGCTTCTCTTTTAAGTGTTTCTTTTTGCAGGGTGCATGTTTGTCTTTTATTTAGGTCACTCTTCACAGCATGCCAGTATGAGTGGCTGCTGTTTTCTGGTTAAGTGTGTATTTCTACAAATGTCCTTGTAAGCGAGATTTAAGGTGTCAAGACTTTCTGTGTCTAAAGTGTAATTTTAAAATCTTTTTTATTAAAAAATGGGGGCTGGGAGGAAGTTAAAAGACTTAATAATACAAGTATTTCATATTAAAAGACTCCATTTTTATTTTCTGTGCTGCTTCAGAATAACAACATAGAGAACTATCTAAAATCCTTGGGGGAGCCCCCCCTTCCTTCATTTGGATCATACACATAGCTTATTGTTCAGAGTTATGCAGATCTGTCTGATATGATCAAAGTCTAGAAGTAGAGCTGTTCATACAAATCTGCTTTTTCCATCACTGAGCTTGTCTGAAGTCAATCACTCTGGATGTTGCCCTCTTCTGCTATAATTCCAGAGTAAATGTGTGCAGAAACATGCCCTGCCTTTCATCCAGGTGCCTTGTTTTGTTTCCGAGAATCAAAGTTGGACAGATAAATCTTCCAGAAGAAGTCTGGATTCACAGTCAGTTATTTATTCCTGTGGTTAGTTTTTCTCCTTGTTAACTGACGTGTGATTTCCAACCTGAATATGTTTGGGTTTTGGTTGCAGTCATGAGTCACTTTTTTCCTGCAAGATGAAAAGGTCTTCCAACATTATCTAGTGCACACTACAATTATCTGTTTTTACTCTGTAGCATTTTCTACAGCTTCTAATCAGTATTTCCATTACAATGTGAGGGATTGCAGTCAATGTAACCAGCATAATACTTGCTTGGATCATATAATTTTGGTCTTCAAAGAGTACTGCAGCATTAATATTCTGTCCAATTGACATGTTTTTTCCCTTTATTTGTGATCTAGTAAAAATTAACTCAAACAAAGGTTGTTTTTTCAGATACTTGAATCAAAATTATCAAGGTTTTGTTTAAAATGTTGTTCCAAATAGAATTTGTAAAATATGCTCTTATGTTGCTGCCTATTGGAACATGTTTTTGTGTTTTCATGTAGTAGGGAACAAGTTGTTTTTCCCAAAATGTGTCAGTAGATACTAATTTTTTTGGCTTCTTGTCTTGTTGTTAACAAGTTTATCCACTATTTAAGCTCCTGTGCCTTTCTTATGTTGTCCTCTTGCTCTTCCTGTGATTTTCCTTTATGGCCTTGAATTCTTCTGGTTTTGGTGTTTTTCTGGTTTTTTTTGTTTTTTTTTTTTTAATTAGCGAATGCTTAATAGTTTAGGTTCTTTTTACTTTCTTTTACTTCTGAAAAGTCAATTTTTATGCATTTTGCTATCTTTACCACTGAAACAAAACAGTTCTTCTGAAGCTTCAGAATTACAGCTTTTTTTTATCTTCTGATAAGATTAAAACAAACCTAGACAGAAATATTTTCTTTAATTTCAATTTTCAGTCCATTGATAAAGATTACTGAGAGAAATAAATTTACCATCTGCTTGAAAATTCCTTTTGTTCTGCAGGTGATCTTGTAACTTTTATAGAATCTGGTGTTGTTTCTGTTCTGGATGTGTAAGGGCTCCAGTAGGAATCTGTACAGTGTGCCAAACCATGTATCAGCACGTGGCTCTGGGACACATGATTCTCCTCTGGTTTAAATACCTGTTCATCAAGTTCCACTTCTGGGCTTTGTTGGTTGTCGCATCAGCCTGAAAACTTGTGAATTTCTACTAAACACCACCTAATTAATATAATTACCTGCAGACTGTGTTTTCACCCAGTATTTCAAACCTCACCCCACTCTTTTTCCTATGGATTTGAGTTAGCATCTTGTTTGTTTGTACACTTCAGTCATTTAACTTTCATTGCGAAAACTGCAGGGGTGATTCGACACATTTCTTCTAAACAGCATTCCAAATTTATCTTGTTGCCTGTACTTTGGTAATAAAATAGAAGTACCTACCTACTTCTTTGCACTAATTCTGTAGGCCGTTCTGCTTTGTCTTAAACCAAGTTTCTCTCAGTTTGTAAGTGCAAGTTGAATGCTTTGTTATGTCAGAACTGTTGTGTAGCAATCCTCAAATCCCAAACCTTGTTTTACAGTACACACTTCACCTTCCATAACCTGAGCCCACCTCTTGAACTGCATTTGCCCAATTCCAGCTGTGTTACTCTACACTCTCTAAAGCTTTGTCATGTGGTGCCAGCTCCTCGGGTCCAGTGTGTTGTGTAGAAATCCAGGCTATTTCTTTCCTTCACTTCAAGTATAGCTCATTGTCTTTCTATCCTTGTGTGCCTGGCTGGGTTTTCTGCTCCCTCCACTTTTCACTACAGACCTGTGCCACAGGTCACATTCTGAATATCTGGGAGAGGCCACTGGTGGCAGCGCCTTCCATCTTTTAACAAGGTAGCCAGTATTTCACCTAGAGTTTGTTCTGCTGAGATAAATCCCTCAGGAACTGCCACTTTAAGTGTCTCATAATTACGAGATACATGAGGAATTGGATCTTCCTTAGTCACACTTGCCAGTGTGACACTTTTGTGTGACACTTTTATGATCATACGTAGTTTTGTCATTGCTTCTACAACAGGAGTAGTTTCTGACTATGGTTGTTTTCTGTTTGTTTTCTGAAATGCCCTGAAAAGTGCTTGCTCTTTCCATGTGGGTGCCAGACGAGGTTCACAAAGCATGCAGATTCTTTCTACCATATGATAGAAAATATTGCACAACAAAGGCAGATCCTAGCAGCTGTTCCTCCTCACCCCTGATGCCTGGTATAGACATGCTTAAACCAGACTGGCTTCAAAAACAAACATCTAACAAGCTGAAGATTTGTTGGCCGATGCTTTATAAAAGCACTGTCAAATTCTGTTATTTTATAAAATCATAAGCATTCTAAAAATCTGTTACAAAAGTCTGACTAATCAGCTCCCCATTTTCAATGGCAGCGGTTAGTCAGATGTTAGAAATTGAATCTGTCCAAGGACCAGAGCTGTAGGCTCAAGGCTGTGGAAGGTACAGGTTCACACCTGTGTTGTCAGATTTGCTCAAAGCTCCTGAGTCTGCCCATGCAGTTGTATGAGAATAACCAGGTGTGCTCAACATACTGTTCAAGTTCTGCCCTCTTTTAAAAACCTGGAATTATACCTACTACATTCCTTCATTCTTGCTGGTGGCTCAGCTTTGCCCCCTCACTGCTACTTTTCTGAGAATGTCCCAGGTTTAAAACAGACTATGTAAAAAGCATAGCTCCAAAATGGTTTATGGGGAAGCTGCTCTAAGCACTCATGTCTTCATGTAGTGCTGCATGGGTTTTTAGAATATTGAAACTCATGTGCATTTATGTTTTTACCCATATCAATGGATGCAGTTTTAGTCATTGTTTGCTGATGATTTTAGAGTACATGTTCATATCCTTAAATTTTGTGTGAGCACTTTAGAAATAAAAATGTTTTATCACAAAAGTACCGACAAGTAGCATAAACTCTCCGTGTTGCTTGCCACTGGATTAGTTATGGCTAACACACTGTTTCAGGTTTTATTTGTAATGTGCACACTAACAACAAATGATCATTAGTTTCTTTAACTCTTCCCACTCACTGTAATGTCTCACAGAATGTCCTCCTTGATATGATCCTTTGGAAGGTTGTGTTCAATCGAGACAAACAAGGAGACTCTCGCCTCACCATACCCCAGCCGCCTCAGGTTGGAGACGAGTATTTTGCTGTCATAATTTGAGTGCATGTGGATTAATTTGGTTTTCTCTCTTATCTATAAGTGTCTGTTGCCTTATCTTTAGCTTAAGTCTGCTTAAATTAGATTTCTGTAATTGGAATATTAAAAGCAAAGGCTTCTGGGTTTATATTTTTTTCTGCATTGACATTAAAGTATTTAGTGTGTGTGCAAGAACTGTGAAGCAAACCTGGAGTATTGCTTTAAGACTTTTCTCACTTCATCTTTAGCTTCCGTATTAGCAAATTTTATTTGTGATGTCACAAGTTAGTATGCTAGGACTGGGAACATCTTGATTTGCTTAGAAGCAATTAAAATAAATTAATTTGGTTTAGAGTTCTAGGTCCTTGTCTGAGAGCAGTAATTTTCAGCATGTACAAATGAAATGAAACAAGATGGAAAATGAAAATACACTATTACTACTGAAAGGTTTTTCAGGTGACCATGAATTTTGGTCTGGTCTGCCCCTCTGCTGTTAATGCATGAAGAGAATCTATGTGAAGCCCATAAAAAACAGCTTTACTTTAAGCCTGTTGGCTTATTACTTTTGGCTGATTGTACATTCATGCTTGCTAGAATTATAGTGGTTTGTTTCTCAGCACTAAATTTTATTAAATATATTCACTTCAGATTTACATTTGTCCTTTTGAGGCTATTGTAGAACAAATTGTTTTGTGGTCACTGAAGAATGGAAACTGTGCTCAAGGCTCACATTTGCTTCAGTTCAGCAATTGACAGACATTTAGAGTGTGATGAAAACTACAGAATATATTGCCATTAAAATGCCAGCCCTGCAGACTATAGGTGCTCTCTGAGACATGAGAGGGATTTAGTCTCAAGAATGAGGAATGGTGTTTCTCCTCCCCAGCTAATTAAATTACATGCATTTAAGACTGGGAGAGGAAGCATGGGGAGGAAGTCTTAAGTTTAGTAGTTTGTCTTTTTTAATAGCTATTAATAACTGCAGTATTTAGATTTCACATCCCAACAAGTTAAATTCTCTTACTTTTGTCTGACTGGCTGCCTTCAGTTTAACAACTCATTACTTAAAAAGTGTTTTGGGATTTTAGGAATTTGCTTTTTCTAGACCAGGCTTTTATTCTCCAACAGTACGATAATTTATTGTTCCCTGTTCTGTGATTATTGAAATGACTATAAAATAGGAATTAAAACTGTTGGTGGTCGTAGATGTTACAACAACTTGAAATACCTGGGTTTTTTACAATGTTTTTTGAATGTCATTGCTACCATAGTATAGAAGAGATGGCCTAGCAGAAGAGTTTCTGTACCACAGGTCCAATCCAATGTGATAATGAACTAGTAAATTAAAGACTGAAATAATAGGTTTTTTTTACTGTATTGTTACTGACTTTTTTGTTATGATAATCCAATTTTCAAATCTGTTCACTTGTGCAGGAGGCTGGGGACCGCTGTGGAGTCTGTTTCCTTTCTTCCCTGTTTGGGTGTAGAGAGAAGACACCAAAAGCCAAGTATATGCACCTAGCTCAGGAACTGCTGGTAGATCCAGAATGGCCACCAAAACCCAGGACAACAACAGAAGCAAAAGCACCATCCCAAGAAAATGGTTCATATCAAATCATCACTGTAACGTAGCAGTGGATCTTGGTGGCATGTATCTTTAGTAGTATTCAGAAGAATGTAATTTTAAGGCTTTATTTGAAACTGCAGTGTGCTAAATGTCAAATTCCAATGCAGATATTTCTAACTGTTTTGTCTCTCTGAATACAAAATTCAGAGCCAGGCGTCTTATGGCTATACATTTTAAAAATGTAAGTTACCTTAGGCAGAACAAAAATGATTGTGTTTCCTTCCACCTTCTTTCAGATTTCATTGTTCCTAAATGAGATGCATTTGAAGGTTTAAACTGCAGGGCAGTTAAAACAGGTTCACATTATTTGCCTGGAATATCTTAATAGTTGTTCTAACCTGCTTATCTGGGCATGTGTTCATGTAAACCCTATGATGTGATGGTTTCATGGCTGTACTAGAGGTGCATAATAACCTTGTCATGGTTTGGGGTTTCTTTGTGTTTGTCTTTTTGGTTGGTTGGGGTTATTTTGTTTGTTTAGTTGGTTTTTATTTGACTGATGAAAAGTTTTGTGCCTCAGAACGGTTCAAAAGTTTGTGTGTGTGTACCTCTAAGTTTGTCTCTATTAGTAAGGAGTGTTTCCAGGTGTAATGTTGGAGTTCTAAGTTCAATTCTTTAGTCTGCCACAGCAGGAATTGGGAATGCTGTAGAAGCAATATGCTCTGTCCTTAAGAAATAAGCACATTGCTTTCATGTGGATTCTTGACTTCTCTTCTAGCTAACCACAGGGAATGCTTAGGTGGCCTCCAGGGGAGGAGCCATTTGGCTACACTCTAAAGTTTTTGGAGAAAGAAGGATGGAGAATCTAAACACTTTCTTCTATGTCGTGTTTTATTGCGTTTAGCTATGCATTTCTCCACAGACCTTGCTTTTTCCAGCAGAAAGGTTGGATTATCCCTTTGTGGACCATGTTTTATTTGTAAATCTAAAGATAATTTTCATATATACCATCAAGTAGTAAGGCCAGAGTTACCGCTGCAAGGGATGTGGGAGTGGGAGGGAGGTATTGTCACATGCCCGCATGTGGGATTTGTGCACGTTAAGAGCACAGGCATTTCAAAGAGTCTGCCGATGTCTTAGGTGCTACATGTAGCTGTATGAAACAAAATTAAGAGAAAATTGAGCTAGTCTGTCTTGCTGCAGAACTATAAGGCTTATGCAGATTTTATTTATTAAAAAAAAATTTTAAAATAGAAGCTTGTATCACCACTAATGCTGCTTAAGCACTAGGGGTAGCCATACATAATTTTGCCATGAGGCAGTATCAGAACACAAGACCACTAGAAAAATAGGTCTACAAAGAAGTAGAGGCAGACAGCACTTTGACTTGCAAGGCTTAAAACTTTTTTTGTTGTTTTTTGGGGTTTTTTTTTTAACCTACAAATTACTTATCTCGAAACCATTGTCAACTTTGTAAATGTTTTGAAAAGTCTTCCTCAGTGTCTTTGGGAAGATGATATATATTGAGTCTTGATCAGTCTATTTTTGACCAGAGGAAACTAACTGATCGAGACAGCTCCAAGCTTTAGGAGGAGATCTGGGGTCTGAAGAAGTCACAATTCTGTAGAGATCCTTTAGAGAAGGAAGTGGGGTCCTTTAGAGTAGTTGTGGAATGAGGGCCCCAGACTCACTGGCTGGCTGGGATTGTTTTGAAGTGTGTATATTCTGATGATGGAATTTGAGATTTTGATGTTAGGGATTTTTTTTATTTCTTTTTTTCCTTTTTCTTTACTTTTTTTTTTCTGGGTTGTCTTGTTTTGTTTTCTTCTTTTAAATTCCTGTGGAGACAATTCCATTCCAGCCTTGTTTTAATAAGCAGAATTTTTCAGATCAGGCCCAATTCCCTTGTGCTGTTCTGTAAAACAGTATGGATAGTGTGCCCTGCTGCTCATAGAATCATTAAGGTTGGAAAAGACCTTCAAGATCATCAACCATTAACCATGTTAATGTCAATCATGTTGTGGTTTCTGCAGTGTTGAATATACTGTGCCAACAGGGAATTTAAAAGTGGTGCTAAATGGTTTGGAAGACCTTTTCCTAGAACTTGGTTGTTGAAGTTATTGCTCCTCCTAAATAATATGCATATGGGTGTACTATCTTCCAGTCCAGCTGTCAACTCTTTTCCTGATTTCTCTTGTTGTTGTTTGTTTTTGAGGAGTGGAGCAGGGGGAAAGGGGGAAGTGGTTTTCTTAGCATTCATTCAACAGAGCAATGTTCTTATTATCCTGGCTTCATAAGGTCATAAACATTGAACAACAGTGGTGGCTTTTAAAGGGTCTGCAAACATTGGATACATTAATTAGTCGTGAACCTGAGTCAGTTGGCTAATTTCTGCCAATGTTGATTTTACAAAATCTTTGTAGCATGGAATAACTGATGAAGAATAATTCTTAGCTGCGTAAGTAGTATTCAAATCTAAACAAAAATAATATTTTAGTTGAAAAATATTGTGAAGCTATGCATCTTGGACCTGGGAGCTGTGACTTATCCTTAAACGCATAAGCTTCTGCTTTCCATTTCACTGACCATTTTAGATTTGCTGTTTCATGAGAACTGAAAGGAAATATTTGTGTCTATCCCTTTTAGATGCTTTTGCTTAGTACTTTCCTAGACTGATAATTTTTCTTGGCTTCTTTGGTTTCTGAAGCTAGTTTTTTGGTCTTATTCTAGTTTATTAGACTTACCTAGAAAGTGAGGAGGAAAACAGCTCATTAAGGTGGGCTTGTCTTTGGAGAACGTTTTAGGGAGCTCTTACTAACACAGAAACTGCCAAGTGTCTCCACTTAACTGAGTGACTAATGGCTTATGAGCGCAGTAAACTTCAGTGTTTTGCAAATGGGAGCTTGTTTCCTCCAGGTCTGAGTTCAGGGTTGGTAAATGTTCCTGGGTTGCATGCTTGAGCTCTGACGCTTAGTCAAGAATAATAAATCAGCTTTTCTGAGAATCCATCTTGTTATTGCAAGTTCAGCCACAAAATAAGCTTCTGCATTTTCTGCAATTATTGGGATTTATGCCTTCCTGCCCAAGAGCTGAATTTGACCACCTATCATTTTTCTCATTTTGAGCAGTTTAGTTTTTCTGGTTTTCAGAAATGCAGCAAACTAGATCTGGACTAGTGTATTCAGTTTATGTTTTGAAGTAAGGTGAAATTAATTTTGTAGTGACAAAAAATCTCTTTCAGTGTTCATCTTGGAAATCTAAATTCAGGTGAACAGACCAAGTTAGTGAGCTCCACTAGATACTGGGTAGACATTTTCTTCCTGCTGTATATTTTGGCCTTATGTTGAGGAGTTTGATTTATTCTTAAATTATTTGTGTATGCAGACTTCAATCTGTACGTATTTTATTTTGATGTATTAGGATTTGTAAATATTACTGATTTTTAAATATTATTTATGCACATACTTAAAGGACTGGTCTATCCAGAAAAGCAGTTGCTAAATAATAAATGTTACTTTTTAGAAATAAATTACAAGATCATGAAATTGTATATCCCTCAGGGTTATTTTTAAAGATTTTTTTTCCTTCCTTTCCCTTCAGATTCAATTAGCAGTAACTCTAGTTTCATGTACTATAGAACTAAATCTACTGTAAAAAGAAAATGCTGCAAATAATGCTTGAATAGAAGCGGCTGAAAAAACCCACAGAACTGACTGTCCGTATTCATCGTAACTTTAAATTGGGGAAACTCTTACTCTTGCACTTTTAAAAAAGTTGTTGGATTTTTAATTCTATTTATTTTCTTCTTTCTTCATGAAGGTTGTGCTGAACAGTCATCCCAAATTGGGTAAATAATCCTGTACTGTATATGTGTATATGCAGTATAATACTAAGCAGATGTGGAGTCCTTTTTATGCTGCAAATTTTTAATGCTTATGTTGGTCATCACAAAATGAGAGAGCTCAAGTCCTGTAGGATTTCTCCCATGAAATTCTGAATTGTAAACTTAGGGTTTTGTATGTCTAAGGGAAAGCTGTGGGTTTTTGACAATTTTTAGAGTCTTGAATATGTTGATTTTATATACAGCAAAGCTTCAGGTTTTTAAAACTATTTTCAACAAACTGCAGCTTGTTTAATAATTATGTGAACCAGAAACTACTCAGTTTGTCATTAATTCCTCAAGCCTAACACAGATTAAAATGTTCATCATTACAGCATTCTCTAGAAGCTCAGCTTCCTTTTATTTTTAAATCTGAAATGATACTACATCTTTGTATTTAAAATATGTATTGCTGCTCTAGAATGGTACCCTGTTGTCAAGAGGCATACATAAATAACTGAATAACTGTACAATAGAATTGTAAATAAACTTGTAAATCATTTTTGTGACTGAAGCTCTTTGAAAATAAAATTAAAATGAATGGATATTTTAACTCTTCTCATTAGTTTCATGGAATTGTTTTAATTATTCTTTATAGAATTAGGTGCAAATCTTGTTGAAGAACACAGCCTTACTCCCTCTGATGTCATGGATATGTTGTTCAGTGCCTCTGTGTTTCTGCAGATGGGGGTGGGGAGGGTGCCTGCTGTGTTAGTGTTCTGCAGGGGATCACGCCGAGCAGCTTTTCCTGGTGGCTTATGAGAGACATTCTAAAGCCTTGTACAAGTGATGGCAGCTTGTTTCCACCTTTGCTTATTCAGATGTTCCTTCTCTTTGGACATGTGGGAGGCATGATCTGAGCTGTCACCATTGTCACAGTCATCTTCAGAAAAATCATGTGGAAATGAAGACATCTTTTCTGTCCTGGGCTCACCTTCCATTGAAACAGTCATTGGCAGAGCAAATTATTTTACACTTGAAGACAAGATACTTAAAATACCTTTTTACTTAACAAAAATTTAATCTTTAAATTTCAAGCTTCTATTTTTACAACTTAGTTTTCTCTTTCAGAATCTTACAGGTTTTAGGTTTTACTGGCCTGCCACTCCAGGGGACTTTGAGGCAAAACAGAAACTAAATGTGTCAACCTTGGAATGCTTAGCCAAAGCATTAAGTAAAAAGCTCCTTCATTCCTTACTGAAATTGCTTTGACTCCAATCCTGCAAGAAATTAAAAGTCAGAGCAGCTTTATGAATGTAGGAGCGCTTGGTTTAAAGTGGATGTTTCCATTCCTTCAAAGTCTATATAGCAGACCTGTGACAAATTTGACCTTTCTGATCACATCTCACATTGAAATGTAGATTTCTGACTTCACTCAGATTTGCTTTGGGTTGGCTGAAGCACATACTCCAATATCACTGCCAAAGAAGCTACAGGTGGGTTTGCTGCTGTCAGGTGTGTGACTTAAAACTTTCTCCTGTTACGTGAGTGGCTTCAAGCCCTACTTTTGGAGTTACATACAGCCTGTGGAAGTTGGTTGCTTGAACAATTGTAGGCAAAAATCTGCTCAGAAGCTTTAAATATTGTTTGGCCTTTGGCCTGTCTCAGTAACTGGGCAAATACGGGTGACAGTGTTATCTGGAGGATGCGTTTTGCTGTTTTACTTCCCATTTAAAGTGCAGTGTCATGGTGAAGCCTGATTGCCTGCTCTGCTCCTAGTAAGTTCCTTTAAAAAGCAGATAAGTTTCTAAGGTACAGCTCAAAATTCCCTTTTCATGCTTGTATGAGTTTAGGAACTTGCAAGACACTGAAAGAGGTAAGCACCACTGTAAGCAATACACGTGCTCAGTGTTCTGTATGTTCAAAACTGATTTGAGACTTCTGATATAGTAACAGAATTAATGTATAAATGCCTCTGGCAGCATTTTGTAGTCTTGAGAAATATTACTGGGGGGAGAGGGGGCTGAAAGGGAACGAGGCTGTAGACCAGACCTTGGTATATGACCAGCCAGGCTTTTTTGGAATGCCAGGTGTCTCACGGGAGGGTTTGAGAGAATTTTAATGCATGGGAACATACAGTTATGATCTTTATTGTGGGTATTACTGTAATCTGTACTGTTAAAATCTTTAAATGTTTTTTTCAGAAAATACTGTTAGCAGCTCTAGATGTTGGAAACTGGTAGGCTTGTCCAGTTCTTGTGGCAGCACTTACAGCCTTCATATCTTGCAATGAATTTCTACCATTTTGCTGTTTGTTTGTCAAAACTAGTGCTTTCTAGCATTTCTGAGCATCTTATTGTCTTGTATACTCTCTTATTTGTTGCTAAAAGACCAGGAAAGCAGTCATCACAAACCTACAGGCTAGTATTAGTCTGTTTCTGATTTTAGAGTGGTCTGTAGTCACACCTTCCAAGGGACCTGCATTTGCAGTTTCTAGCATAACAAACTGGGGGGTTTCCATCCATTTGGTTCTCTAGATCCTTGCTTCTCTCGTCTAACTGCATCCTGTAGTTCTGTGGTCTTGAGTTGTTGCTGTAGGTTGAGATGTCAGTCAGGGCTTGAAAGAAATTTTTTAATGTGTTTCTGGATGGAGGGTTCTGCTTGTGGGGATAGGTAGAATCAGGGACAGGCTGAGTTATAAATTTATTGAGGTTAAAGCATCACTGGCTTATGACAGAGTTTTGGGGTGGGGAGGATTACTAGGAGGGTGAGATTCTCTGAAAGATTCTTGTTTGACACGTGAAAGACTTTTGGAGGATTGAAATCTCTTGCTATTTTTTGGTGATGCCTCTGCCTCATTCAATGAGTTGTGAAAAACCCACTGAGATCTTGCTTTGTGGCACCATGTTGCTGGTCATTGAGAACCCTAAATGCCGTGTCCTTTCCTTCCTGAGGGAGAATTAGAGATTTTACCAGACTTCAGTACTCTGCTGAAGCTGAATAAAATTTAAATTTTTTAAAAATAACTCCCTTTTGCTCTTTTTTTTTTTTTTTTTTTTTTTTTTAATGCAGTAGCTAGTTTGGACATGCAGCTGTTTTAGGTCCATTGTGGTATGTTCTTGTCAGCAGTTCAGGTACCTGAGAAGTTCTGCTGTTCTTCCTGACATCTCTTTAAGTGAAGGAGGTTGTACCCAAGTCTATGGGATTGGTATGGGAGAGCTTCATCCTTGCCCCTGAAAAGGAGAATCTGGGGATGGAGACTTCCTCTCCCCCCATGTTTCTGGTGCAGAGGACTGACATTGTGTCAGCTATCCCAGTTAACATCTGTGGAAGTTGTGTATCTATTCCAGTGGTCCCAGCTGCTGCTTATTCTGCTGTTCAGCCAGTGCTTGACATCCAGGTTTCTGATACACTTGGGCTTGTTGATTTCATTGAAGAAATATTTCTAGACTGTGGGTTTCTGTTTGCCTTGCTCTTTTAAATATTATTTATACCTACAATGATTGCTTTCCTGTTTGTTTGGAAATGTATGCAACTTTCCAACTTTGTGGTGTGTTTCATGCAGATGTACCTTTATTGCTACAACTTCCCATCTGATCTTGTGCACGTCTTTCCTCTCATTTCATTGCACTTCTGCTACCACTGCTGATAGCTTGGCATTGTGTTAAGCTGTTGAAATGAGGCTTGTTGGTTATCAGAGGCTCACTACTGTCCTGTGCCATATGGGGTCTTCTGTGTTGTTTCAGGCTGTGTCAGAAATAGCCTGTTCCTTCTTGTGTGTTCCTGGGCTGTTCCAAGAAGCCATCACTTGAAAATGCTGAGACAGGATTTAACTGGATGGTGCTGTTTTGCTTTTCACCACTTAAAGTACAGGACAACCTTTTTACCTCCATTGTCTATTTTTGCAGGCTAAACTTTATTTTTAAACCTCAGATAACTTACAATGGAAAAACACAATGAGTGCAGGACCTTTTGATAATTTTTGAAATTATTTTTGGCACGTAATTTAGTATGATATACTAAACCTTGTCTAGTGGAAGATGTCCCTGTCAGATGGAAAGAGATGATCCTTAAGGTCCCTTCCGACCCAAACCCTTCTGTGATTCTGTAATGCTTTTCTGTTCAAATAAATGCATGTCTTTTGACTACTTAAGTGTTTCATCATGATTTTTGTCTGCTTTTATTATAGTTAATTGGTATAAATACAGACAAGGAATACTTGATTTACAAAAGTTAATTTATCTGTACTTCTCAGTGTAAGCTGAGCACATCAAAAATAGTCAACAATAAAAGATTTTGAAGTTTGCTTTCAAGGCAAGGGAAATTTTGTACACATTTGCAGGTTTATGATATAATCACACATCTTTGTGAGCTGCTAAGTTAACTATGATCAAATCCTGATTCTCTCTTATCTCTCATAACAGCTAATGTTTCTGGCACTTGAACAAGGATGTTGGTGTTCCGTTTGTCAGTGATGATCAAGCTTTTCTTCCAGTTGGATGCATCTATTTGTCCTGAGAAGTGTGACTGCTCTTCAAAAAATGCAATTTATTGCTCTGGCCCCCACATAAAAGACCTGGAATTATTAAATCTGCCTTGCAACATGACAGAAATTCACATAACAAATGCTAACATATCATACTTGCAGGATGTTTTTGCTAGGATGCCAGAACTGCAGCATCTCATCCTGTCTTCAAACAACATCGCTCTAGTTTCACCAATGGCTTTTAAAGGCTTGGGAAGGCTAAAGGTCCTCAAACTGCTAGATAATAAGCTGGTTGAACTTCCCCCAGAAGCATTTGATGACATGGTGCAGCTTCAGCAATTGATCATTGAAAGTAACAGGCTGAAATCTGTTGAGGAAAATCTGTTTGACAAACTGGCTGGTTTGCAGGAACTTTATTTGAACAAAAACCAACTAACAGCACTTCCCAGTGGTGTGATGAAGAAACTCGCCAAACTCAGAGTACTGAACTTGTCAAGAAATTACTTAGCAGCACTGCCTAGAAATATATTTAGTGCATTAGCCAGGCTTGAGAGGCTGATGCTGTATATTAATAGGCTGTCTTCAATAGAGTCTGGTATGTTTGATAGCCTGAAGGAGCTGCAGGAGCTTTTCCTGCATTCCAATAATATCCATTCCATTGCTCCCGATGCATTTCATTGTCTTCGCAAACTAAGAACCCTGACACTCTCCAGAAACAGGCTTCAGGCTTTGCCTTCTGGCCTTTTTTTGCACTTACATGACCTGTCTAAACTGACCTTGTACAGGAACCCACTGAAGACTCTTCCAGAAGTACTGTTTGGAGAGATGAGACATCTTGGTAGCCTTTGGCTGTATCACACAAAGCTCTCAACAATACCAGATTTTGTGTTCAGTAACTTGACAAATTTAGAGCTTCTTGTGCTGAGTTTTAACCCAGAGCTTACGGTTCTTCCTAGGAATGTATTCAGTGGCCTGACTGAGCTGCAGGGCCTTTCTCTCCATACAAGTAATATTTCCAGTTTGCCAGAGGGAATCTTTCTGAGCCTTCAGAAACTGCAGAACATTTCCCTCTTTGATACAAGGCTTGAGGTTCTTCCTAGAAACCTCTTTCATAATCTC